AGGCTCTTAGCTATGGGTTTTATGGTCACAAAAGGCTTTTGGTTGCTAGGCAGATGCAAGCTTTCTCAGACATGTCCTGCAACAAGCCACAATACCTTTTTAGTATTACAACTGTTTCTATAAATGTGATTCTCATACATTAAAATCTTTTAAATTTAAATTTACGTCTAGGCTGAACTGCTTCTATATTATATTTTCTTTTTTTGCCAGGTGACAGAATAGGCTTTCAATGTATCTGAGAGATCAACAAAATTAACAACCTACTGTAAAACAACACGAGCAGCTGATCACCTTCGCTGTTCCAAATGTTGTAGCTTCCTTAGTGCAAATCAGAAAGTGCTTTCTTATGTATTCAAAATGAAAAAGAGGGGAAAGATCAAAGGCACTCATCATTACATAAATAAAGACCTCAATTGCTGTGCTTTCTGTCCTTGCTCTTAAGAGTGGAAGGTGAAGCTTTAAAAAAGCCTTTTAGAACGTTTAGGCTGTTCTGGATTAAAGATTTCTTTACTTTTGAGTGAACATTGATTTTTCTTTCTATCTACAAGCCTAAAAGCACGATTCTTTGTTGTCTATTAAACTGTAATCACATAAGAACCTTTATTAGAAACTAACATGGAGCATCCGCATTTACCCTCATGCCTTTATACTTACAACCTCATATTACACTTTCTGATTCTACCGTAATGCTACTACAGACTAAATGTGACCATAAGGATACAATTTTGTCATCTTCCCTTTCCACAAATGTGATGAGTCAGGAGTCCTAACGTTACTACCTGGTTAAAATGTAATCTCTCTATAATCTCTCTATCACATCGCTCTCGCTCTCTCTATCGCCTCTGTCTCTTAGTCCCTACGCTTCCAATATTATAGAATATATCTGTTATTACCATGCAGCCAAGTGATAATAGCGTTTTCTGTCATGTGTGCAATATTGTTGCCTAAACTGACCACACCATACCTGCACATATATGATGAACCCCTCTGACTGGGCCATTCATTGCTGATTTAGGGCATCAAATCTCCTATAACACTGCCTCTTATCATTTACAGCCTTCACAGCACAATGCCTCAAGCTGATTACCTTTAACCCACACAATAAGAGTTAGTGTAATGAAACCCCTGATTTAAATGGGTGGGTTAGGCACATGTTGATGGATTCATGCAAAGGTGGTCATCTTATGCTTTTAACATCCCTGACTCAAAATAGGAGGGTAACACCTGTTCAATTTGCACTTTAGAGTCAATTTGTACTTACTAATCTTGTTTTTTTTGTTTTTGTTTTGTTTGTTTTTTTGCAAATAATTATTCTAACTGATATGAAACCATAGACATTGATGACTGAGCTAAAAAAAAAAAACTATGAAAGAAGAAGAAATTAAAAGCAGTGTTGTTGGTGATGTTTAAAGTAGCAGTCAGATTATTTAGAAACTTGTAGTAGAAAAAGAGTAAATAAAGAGTTAAAAACAGTGGGTTGGGTGAACCGTTGGTGTGTATGTGGATGCCTTAATGGGAGTTATCAGTGTTTTCTACTTCACTGCGTGTCCTTATAGATTATATCTGCTGAGGTGGTGGTGCTATTACTTCACCATTGATTAGATTAGGAAACCTGGGAAGGACACGCACATTCACTCACACACACACACACA